TTTCTATCTTTCCGTCTGGCCTTCCCCCCTTTTTTTTTTTTTTACTTCTTTGTTTTGTAGCATTTCAGGTTTGCAAGGTTGCAATACTTAATAAGTTTAGTTTGCTCAGGACTTGCGTTGCTGTACCTTACCGAAACACTCGCATCTAGCAGCTGGGAATGCCGCGTGTTCCATGAAGCATGTTTGGCTTGTTCATCCACATTTGTGAAAATTTGATCGCTGCTTGTGTTTTTTGTATTGCCATTGTAGGTAAGGCTACCCCGACAGAGTTCACATCTGCAAAGCATTTTTTCTATATCATTGTTTCTGGTATGGTTCTTATCCATCATTGCTGTTATGGTAACTGTTATCACTATTAGTGCTGCTATCTAAATTGTTAACACTATTACTGCTATCGTTGCTGTAACTACTCAGCTGCTGGCCGTTGAAGTCCATGGCGCTCCAGACGCAAGCAGGTTGCCCATGGAAAAGCGTCGCGCCAAGTTCTACGAATCTCTCCAATAGTACATACAGTGTATATTCCTGATTGAAAACCATTGCGGAAGCTGATCTATGTTTTTAAGTAAAAGAAACAATAGCAAAGACAATCTGGCCAGGTGACCAGATCTGCCTGATCAATCTGCCAAGTGCAACGATAAAGGCTGAAACAGTTCCTTGACTGTGACTGCACCACATCCTGCGCACCGGCAGAAGCATGCCAGATCCAGCTGCTGACTGGTCCACAAACAGCTACGGAAATGCCCTCAGCGACCTAGCCTACTTTAACTGATTATTTGTTTGCCTTATCATGCCCTGAAGCCTTCCGGGCGCCAGTGTTTTCGCGAAGTTTTGAGCAATGTCCGGTCGCCAGAATCCACAGATCCCGGAAAAGGTCGGTTTAAAAAGGCTCTCCCTGCAACCTATCTGAGGTTCAAGTTGGCCAAACACGGACACCTCAAAATCTTCCAAAACCAGTCGCGTCACAGTTCCATTTCCATGGTCCAGAGCCCTTCAGGGTCCCAAGCAACTTTCTTACTCCATCCAGGAACCAACAGGGCGAAGGTGCAAGGAGCCATGCAGTCTGGAAGGCGGCACGGGGTTGGAGACATGGACCTTAGGACCGGCCTCACCCGCGTGGCAATCAATTCATACAAAATTTGGAAGCAGGCTGCCGTGCACCCAACTAATTGTATTCCATGCAGCTTCATTATCCCACAATGAAAGAGTGGCCTGTTCGCATACTAGGTGGGGATCGGCACCTGCGAGCTGTCTACATTCTACTGCGAATTCCGGATTTTCAAGTTGATGTGCAAGCCAGTGTACCGATGACAGCGCATCATTCCGCAACACGATCTCACTGCAACACCACGCTGTGGGGCCTTTGTGGGGGCTCTCAAGAACGAGGATGCAGCGTAAAGGATGATACGAGAAATTTGGATTACGTGGGTTTTCTCATTCACCCAAATTTAGCCTGGCTGAGCTCCGTTGAAGCCGAGCTCGAAACGAACATGCAACGAGCTGCAGAAAGTGCCAGCGCCATGCTGAAAACGCTCACTATTGAGGAATCACCCAAGGAACATGCCCTGAAATTGTACATTCTGGATCCAGACTCTGCATAATGATGGAACATGTTGACTCTTGGGAAGCTGTCACTTCAAGACCAAGGAGTTGTTACCGTGTGGCGCCCTCGAGGGCTTCTTGCATGTCTTGCACTGGCCAAGAAAAAACGCCCCGAATCTGACCAGCAACCTGTGGTCTGAAAGCGAGGGTGCTCACGCTCGCGTTACGTGTGCTCTCGCCAAGGCTCTACATTTTTCTGGTCTACTTGTATTTTACTGCACCTTGCCGCAAGCTTTCCTGGCTTCTGTTGCTGTGGTTGGCCCGTTTGCTCTGCGTGATTATGCCTGCCCGTTATTGCAAATCAACACATATGTTTGCACCGAATGAGGTTCATAAGTGAAATCGGATGCCACCATGAAGCATCTTTCTTTGGAACCCCGGTGGTCCCCCTAATGGCGTCCCGGGTCCTTTGTGGTAGGTAGTCGTGTCGTCATAAAGGATACTTGGCAGGCTGTGCTGGAACATGTTGACCACAGGTCTGCCGAACAGCATGCAGAGCCGTCTTGGCAGCCAACCTCGCCCCTTGCAAGGCAACGAATTCGCGGAATGACTTAACGAAATGAAGGCTCCGGAGCATCTCCAAAAAGGCATTCAAGTCCTTGTGTCACTGCTATCGGTATGCCTTGGAGTGACAACTCCTGTCTGGGGCAGCCTGAACAATCCGGCAGCTTACACACAGATTGTGGAGAAACGCAGTCAATTTTCTACGGCTTGCATGAACTTGAAAGAGGCCTTGATGCTTGCAACATGTTGGGAGTTGCTTGTTGCATGGTGGTGCGATTACAGCTATAAGGCTATAACTTATATAACCCTTGGAAGCCTTGACCTTGAGGCCCTTGAGGTTGAGCGATGGCCTTTCAGTAGTTCGTGATAAGCCCCAATGGAAGCACAGACATTCACAACAGCATCATGGGGAATCGTTCTGCCGGAGTCTTCACAGTCAAGTCCCGTCTGGGGCAAAGCCCTCCAGGGAGGATACGGAGATTGTGTCAACGGAGCCCACATGGTCCGGAGATGAAGCCACGGCTCTGACAGCAGTCTGTGAATTTATCCAAGCATGGTTCGGGAACTGAAGACAACCAACTGGAGACCTGTTTTGGCCTATAGGCCAACCAGCAGCAGCATTTGAGAGTACTTCCCGTCCCGGTGCTTTCATGCAGAATGCTTCAAGCATACTATCCCTGAAGCTGGAGATGAAGCTGATGTACTTCGGGACTTCGGGGCGAGGCTTTGAGGCTCTACCTCGACCAGCTAGTGACATTATTCTCTGAGTAGCTTGGTATTACCTGATACGCATCTTCCTCCAGCCTCGTCTTCAGCAGCTCTCCTCTCTTCCGCTAATCAGCCCTGAGCTGGCGATCGAGGATAATGACGCATGACTGGGCCTCTTGTCCTGGCTGACTCCTCCTGCAGCTGACGAAGCACATCGAAGCAATTTTGCAAGCAAGACTGACAGGGCAAATGCCAAATAGGCCCATACGCGGATGATGGAATTACGAATGTGCAGCCCGACCTACAGCTGGGCCCACAGCCAATCCTGATGCCATCATGTACTTGCACAAGCTGTTGAGGATGTCATGGATGTGAGAGAATTCATCCGCAGTGAACTTGCGAAGGTCCACAATGTCCTGGCATGAGGCTTCAAAAGGTCAGGCTGCGCCTGTTAAAAATATTTCTCATGCACGTAAAGGTTTCCACCCAGGCAGTGCGGTCCTTTACTGTTGTCTGGTTGGAGCCGCGAAGAGTGAGGATACCCCGCATGAAATCTCCGAACGTAAGTGGCTCGCCGTCTTCAAACAATAGCTTGCCTGAGCAGCACCCTGCACATGGGATGCTTGACTGGTAGCGATTTAATCGGCCAACAGGTCACTTGAGAGTATGAAATCCGTCACTTGTGACTACAAATTTGAGTCACTTGCGCCAAAAAAGATGGTCGCTTGATGTCACTTGTGACTATAAAGGCGGTCATCAATGATTAGTGACTATATCTCTTGCATGCCTTCTGAGGTGGCTTTTCCCTGGGACGTGAGCCAAGTCACTTGCGACTGGGACAATTTTGTCTCCCAGGGCTATTTTTTATGAGAGGCCGATTAGGCCAGCTGAGGACTATGATTTAAGGCTTTGCTTTTTCACATCCCTCAAGGGCTTCAGGATGTTGGAGGTGTTACTCAAGCTTTTTTCCCTCCCGCGTAGCTCAGACAACTCTGCTTATTCAAGCTTTGGATTTGAGGGTTTTAAAGACAGGTTACAAGGTTTAGGGCTTCTGTGTTTAAGTTGGTCTCAAGGGCTCGAGGATGCTAGGTTTTAAGTCTTTGGGATTTAAGGCTTCATAGGCTTTTAGGCCGTACAGTAGGCTTTCTAGGGTTATAGGCTTTGATGAGGAATGGTCAAGCAGGTTCTCATGTGTAAATTGCAATCGCACTCTTAGGGTCCAGGGCTTGGGGGTTCAAGGACTTAAAGGCAGCTGCGGGCTCAGGGGCTTGGTTCAACTTCTTGGCTTCATGCTTTCTGGTGCGGATGGTAAGCGTCACCATGCAAATGTCATTCACTTTCTGCCCAAAAATTGAACGCGCTTCAGGCGACAGCGTGATGTCAGAAAAACATTCACAGGTGACTTGACCCGAAAACAGGCAACAAAAAGTCAAAAGCGAGAAGCCAAAAGCTGCAGTCAAATGACAAACAAAAATAGGCGCAAGCGACCAGAGCATTTCAAGTTATTCCGAGGCCATGCAACTTCGCGCGCAAAAAACAATGAAAAAGTGCACATGCGCCTGCGAAGCTTCCTGCTCACTGTCAAAACTTGTGACGATGCTATGAACCAAAGGTGGCCATTGCGAATACGAGTCATCGGTTCACCAGTTCATGCTGGTGTTGGTGCGCGATCCTCTCACATGTGAACCTCCTATCTCAGCAAAGTTGCCATAGTCCAAAGCAGCTTCCACATCAACTCCCAGGCTTGTGAGGGCAGTCATAGCCTCATGAGAGACAGCATCCAAGCTGTAAAAAGACCACTGGCCGTCACAAAAACACATCGGGGGAGCAGTTCGGACTCAATTAAACAGGCTGAGTGAGCAACGTGTTACCTGCCGGAGAACCCTTTAACAAATTGCGTGTCCTTTGCTGTTGAGGTTGTGCGGCTGGCTGCTGCTACTTGCGAGCACTCTTATCACTACACACATGACAGCTACTGGAACTGCGACCTTCGTCGATTCTGTAATGTCAAGGGACTTAGTGAAATCACGGCTTTAAGTCTCGCATCTTGTTGGCGAGGTGCGGTCTGATTTGCTAGTGCCCTGAATGCCAACACCAGAAAGCGCAGATCGCATTCTGGTGCTGGCATTCAGGACGCCAGCAAATTAAATCAGACCGTCGAAATCACCCCCACAACATTATGTCGCAGGAACAACTGAACCATGGCCTCTTGCTTTAGTGCTACATGGGCTTCAATTCTCCGTACTGACTTGTAGCCCCCTTGAAAGGAACTTTACCTTGCTTTAAACCCGCCTCGGGTGTATGGAGTACGTTGCGGTATTCCTGCTCCGAGATCCTGTTGTCTCCATCCTCATCAGCGTGTCCTTCCAGGCTGCACATACAGTAGTGGTTGGACAGCACATTGTAAGGCCTCAAGTACAGTACTCAAAGTCCCTTCACTCTTGCCCTCCCGACAAAACACCGGACCTATACATGCTTCATGGGTATGGGGACTCCACCCTACGCCCAATGCTAGGGATACTGCACCTTTTTGTGGAAAAAGCTGTCCTTTGTCAATCATCTCCCAAAGAACCTTCTTGGCGAAGTCGACTTCCAGCTGCTCACGTTCGATCGTTGATACAGTCTTCACCGCCTGCAGATCAGCTTGTTGAGAAATCTGGACAGTCATTTACCCATCGGCATGCGAGCAATTGCCCGCAGCTTGAGCCCAACTTCAGGCATAATCTTCAGCTTCGGACTTGCTAGAAAGGATTCTCCTGCACAGCATTCAGAGCCATCTAATTATGACACAGGCCTCCACGAGGACTCCAAGCAGCATATTCATCACGGTCAGCGACCCGAACAAAATGAATACCATAACCAGAGCCGCCATGATCCAGCTCTCCTATTTTGGGTTGCTACATTTCACTGTCCACGGAGAGAAGGAAAGAAGCAAACCAAACGCTGCAGCACAAAGCTGTCCTCCGCAACTGCCTCGATTATGAACTGTTGGTCGGTGAGGATGCATCTCCTTCGTGTGTCACTGACTGGTGCAGTAGCTTTGTTTTGTACTCGTAATATTTGCTGCCAAAGCACAGCAGCAAGGTCCAAATGGCTGTGCCCATTGAGCCGAAGAAACTCGTCTCGAGGACAACATTTCCGCGGCTGAACTGGACAAAAGCTACACCTTAGTTATCGCTTCGAAGGTTGCGAAATGCATCTGTTGAAGTTACAGTGCAAGGGTACATGACACTTCAGCAATTAAGGTGTCTTGGCAAACCGTCTGCCCATGACAACAAAGAACCACCGCATTTTTGACGTTGCACCCACTACTTCAGAGATGAAGTAATTTGGGTAGTGACTTGCCGAGGGGCTGAAGACATAGGTAAACATGAGCAGCAGGACCAGAGTGAAGAACCTCAACCAAGGGACTTTTCTGGCTATTCCGGCTACGCGTCGTAGTTCTTCAGTCTCTTCAAGCACTCTAGCAAAACATCACCACGCGGGCGGTTACGATGCAACACTCTATTTCAGCTACAGCTGAGAGACACGGAGCGGCAAGCCACCATCATGCCTATCAGATGTGTGAGTGTTTCATGACCCTTTCATGGCACATCCTTGCGAAAATTTTCTAGAACGCCAAACGAACATGGACATCGTGCACGCTGACGGGGCCTTTGATCAGAATCATCAGCTCAGGCATCAGTCGCACCAGTCGAGCCATCCTTGCTGTCCGGAGAACTCGCAGCACACGAGCGACACGGAGGACCTGCAGCAGATGTCGACGCAAGCGGGACTACATGCATCACCTTAAGATGCTTTATCAGTCGGGTGGCAGATGCTCCTCCTGTCATGGTGTCGCCGGTTGTCTGTGTGATGGCATGCGCCAAAGGCATGATCCATGTCTCGAAGGACATTAACATCATCAGGAAAACGTCGAACAAGTACCAAATGTCCTTCAGCGCGTTGCAGGTGCGCGTGTAGGTCCAGAGGCGGACGAAGAGTTCGAAGGAAAAGAACACGCAGAAGAGGTTCTCCACCAGAATGAAGCCTGGCTCGGCTTCAGACAAAATTTCAGCCTTGTTGAATTCGATGTCCACCGATATCCACATAGCGTTCAAGAAGATCACAGCCATGGTCACGCGCTCAAAGTATGGATGAATAGCCAGCCGGTACAAGCGTCCGCTGGGCTCTGCTACGGCCACGGGGTCTCCGAAGTCGATCGTGGCACGCTTGCGAACCATACTGCGAGCAAGTTCCGGATCCAGCTGCGTAAGCCTGAATGGCAACAAGGCATAGCAACCAAGTTAGCCTGCTCTGCTGTGTGAGGTTCTCAAAAACGGCAGGGCCTTACAAGAATTGCCGAAAACTGGCCAAGCAGCAAGCCTTTTTGCTGCTGCTCATCTGCATCCTTACGGATCTTCTCCTTCTCGTCTCGAGTCAAATTGGCCACCTGCACCGCAAATGTCCCAATGGCTGCATCGTGACAACTTGCAGTAACTATCCTGCGCAGGTCTTGCCGCCTCGCCCTCCAACAAAGAAGGAATAGCAGCCTTCAACTCAGAGTGTCTGCAAGTGCCAACAGCTCGCATCAAACTCCTGCTTCTCTACCTTTGAGGTTTGCCTACGCGAGAGACAGGTTGGCTGCGGGGAATTCAGACGAGGTGCTGGTGATGGCGCAGGGGGCTCGGCTGGACTGGTCCTTTGCGCAGGAAGGGTGAAAACAGTGAAAAACAACACTACCATTCCGCAAGACCATTTACAATCTAGACCATTCGCAATCGCAAATGTCACGTCCAAGCATCTTCTGAATCCAGGACATTCGGCGTTTGCGTTGCTTCTGCACTGCTGGCAGAAGCGCGAATGGGGAGGGGAAGGAAAATCGTCTGACCTGCAGCTAGTCATTCAACAGCTCTAGATAGCCTGTACCTCTGAGACTCACCGAGCACCTGAGTGGAAACCAGAAAAGCAGTAACCAGGCCTCGCTGGTGGTGCTTGTTTGGCTCTTGCGTCCGCTTGGCACAACTGCAGCTGCTGCACCTGGGCACAGGTGACGCGAGTACTCGCCCGATGATGAAGAGGCCACCTCTTGATAGACATGCATTGAAATCTTTTTGCGAACGGCAGCTCTAAGGCCTTGGCTTAGACTCGGGCCTGTTTTGAGACGCTCTAATTCATCGTCGAGAAGTTGCAGCATCTGCTTCTGGCTGGCAACCATGGCTGAACGGAAGGAGGTCAAGCTGTTCAGCACCCGCTGAACTTCTGGGCGGGGTTCCGGTTCCTGCCAGCTGCGGTTGCGTCTGAATCCGGGTATGGACTGCCTCGGCTGAGCTGGCTTATCCACTTTCAGGGACGGCGCCAACTCCACAGATGAGTCGGAGCTGAACCCACCCTCTGACTCGTTCTTGGCCCATGCCTGAGGTGTGCTCTGGCCTTGTTCTTCTTTTTGCCCCGCCTCACTTGGCAGTCCGCTGGGCTTCTTCTTCATGTTCTTCTTGGTGCTGTGTGGCTGTCCAGCTGGTAAGACCAGCTGAGGGGCAGCAGGTGCAATTGGCAGCGATACCACTACAATCACTACAAATTATTTTGCTGTAGCTTCTGCCACGGTGTCAGGCTTGACATTTTTGATATATTCAGTGCCGCTTTATGGGATGACACGTCTGCCCGCTCATGCCTACAAGGTGCGCAGAAGATTCTTTGAACCCGGGCAGCGGATGCAAAGAGCGAATTACAGCAATAATCAATTACATCAACTTCCATCACAGCCCGGCAAACTGGTCAACTTGTTTTCACCGCTCATGCATTCAGGACCAACTTTTGAGCACCGCCTGCCATCATCTTCTGTGGCATGTAGATCGGTTCAGGACGTTTGCTGCAAGAAACACTTGCCTGTGTGATTTGACATGTCCATTGTCGGCTGCGGATGTCAGTGCAGCTTACACTCTCCAGCGGCATGTTTTCGATCTACAAAGGTATGGAAGAAGCAGGACTGAAATTACTAGGGGGACGTAGGGGTGATTTCCAGCCAGAAAAATATCTGGTCCAACTTCTCCTTCCATTGCTTGTTGTCAAAGCAGTCACGCGGGCCCTGGGCTCCACTAAGCTCTGGCTTGCTCTGTAGTAACTCCAAACACATCGTAGCCTGCTTGTAGCTGTGGCGATGGAATCTGCAAGCCAGTCTCAGCTCACACCTCTGAACTGCTCCTGCGCAGCATTGGCGACAAAAGCGCCCCGAAAATCTCTTCAAATCGATTGGGCTTCTTGACAGCACTTGGCTTTGCTGCTGACATGGAGGAGCAAGGCACCATCCAAGGCTACAACTGGCTTTGCACGTGATCACCTATGCATAATTTACACTCTGATGGCGTCAGCGTCAGCGGCTGAACTCGGCTGACTCTGTAGCAAGGCCAAGGCCTTTCTGCCCAAAACACGAGCAGTAGACAAGGACCGCAGAACATTGCCCCTGCAAGGGGTCCGTCTTATTACATTCACAAGAAGGCAAGTGTGGCGTTGTTCTGCTGTTCTGGCCCGCTGCAACAAGGTCTCTGGGTCAAGGCCTCGATTCTGCCCCTCATGCACATTTTTGACCAAACAGGCTCCAACTCGACGATTGCATTTGGGCGACTTCCGTTGGATGCCAGCATATGTCATGTGATGCGGCCTGCTGAAGACCTGTTAACTCAGAGCCCCTTTCATATCCAGAGACGATTTCATGCGCTTCGAGACATCCTTGGCTTCTTGCAGAAATTGCAGAATGTGTTAGATTTGGGGCCGTTTCTTGCCAGGGCATGCAGAATCGGCAATTTTAGGACTGCTGAGACTATCATTGCTGCCATCAGCCCCTGACCTAGCCAGAACGGCTGATGCGACCTTGACCGTCCATCCACTTTGACTTTGGTTTTGAGTCTAAGAGGTTCAGGGACCAGCGTATAGCACCACTGCAATTGCATGCCAAGGCTCAGGGGGGCGTGCACCTGGATGCAGGTGGACCGCAGCCCCCCGCACCCACACCCCCGTCCCGACCTCAGCTGCACTGAAGATGCAGTAAAATCAGTACAGATGCAGGGTATCAGAACCATACAACGGTACAAAGGAATGAAACAACGAAACTGATCCAAATTCCGTTGAGAGGCGGCCACACTGCATCGCCTCCCGAACGACCTCGAAGAGCCGGGCACGTGCTGGAGTTACAGGGTCTCTAACGTGAGCTGATGAGCACACATGGGTATCTGCAGAGACATAGCGCTGCGTGTGTCTAGCTGCGTTAGGCCCAAAAGCATGCTCAGCGCATACATCCTTCCAGATGTGGATCCGACGTGTGAGTTGATTGGAGTAGCCAAGCGCTACATCTTTGTGTTTCTTCCTGCTCACCGCGAAAAAATTCTGAAACAGACAAGCGGCGAACCGTGCAGGGGGCCAAGCCTGCCCAGTTCACAGGCATGTGATTCGGGAAAGCCCTTCTCGCATATGGCAACACAACACAGGACTTCAGTGCGCCAAGTGGTGCGAGCTATTGAAAGGATGATACGCTCCTACATGGTGCAAATGATAGTGTGGAGCAAGAGTGAGCAGACCTGACAGTGACTTAGGCAGCATGGGTGCCCTCTTCTTGGACAAGCTGAGGCTGGAGCAAGGAGCTTGAAACCCATTCAGGCACGAGAGCATCTTTGTGATTGCTGGTCCGAAACAGTTGTCATATGCCTCACGTTTGCAGGCAGAGACGTGCAACTCACATTCAGCTTCAGTGTGACAAGAGGATACCGCTCCTGAACGGCTGTGCTTCCAAAATTAAATGCATACATCTTGCAGCGCAGCGGCTTGTTGTAGAACATGTTCTACCTTGACTGCTGCTACAGAGAGCACCTCCAAGCACTTTAAAACACGGAGATGACACTGCAATCAGTTCGCCACAGGCAGGGCCGTGGGATTTCTGCTTTGAGTTTGCATGATGCTTTCCACTGCGAAGATCATCAACTACCTATGAATACATGCTGCTTCCACTTCATGAGCTTGGACTGACAGCATCTCTTCATCAAGCGGGCTTGTCCTGTTGCAGTTCGAGGCTCTTCAATGATGCTGCCGCCTTGCTTGTGACAAAGCTGCATACATATCACCATGGCAATGAGATGCAATGAGGCGGAAGCGTCCATTGGCTGCCTAGACACAAACGCGAACTCTGCAATATTCGGAGCACGCGTATGACATGTTCAGGAAGTCTGTCTGAATCCCTCCCTGGCTGGTCCCCGAGCCACGAAAGTCCGCAAGGCAACGCATTTCAACATTTGGCATTCACGTCATCGGTATGGATGTGCTAGCTCCTCCTCAACCTCCTCTTCAACAACGACAAGTACTACATGATTGCCCTGCTACTTCTCCTTCCACTGCTGCGGTTGCATTACAACTGCCAAGTCAGACTGCTCATGCACAACGGACATTTCTCCCCTTAGGTAGCGCCATTCAGCACTTCTCCAAGGCACAAACGCCATTGCGGTTACAGATCCTCTGCCAAGACGCGTGTTCGGGAGCCGCAAACATGCGTTGCGTGGCTTGAGCGGGCGCCGCAACGCAGCGACTGGGGAATGCGAAGCCCCTGCCTCAGCGCTAGCAAGAATAAAGCACTATAGTGTTAGTTAACATGACAACCACCATAACCGTAGATATCATGGATGACGACTGTATTGATACGCCGTGCAGCAGCAACTCGCTTATGAAAGCAAAGGCTGCATGGCTGCCAAACCCTTCATAAACGATAAAGTTAAAGGCAAAATGAAGCAGAACCATGATAGCAGTCAAAGTGCATCACAGTCTGAGGGGGCTGTTGCGGAGGGCGGGAAGTGCTGTGGGCTGCCAAGGCTGTCCACGTTTTGCACAAGCCGGCTGTTGATCTTATGCTTGCAGGGGCTTAAATTCCTTGTTGGCGGGATGCCTTTCCGATCCAAGCTAAAATCTCTTGTCCAGGTTGCTGGATCTTGGAGCGCAGAGAACCTTGCTTGTCATTCCAGCGCTTGCGATGCAAAGCAGCCATTGCTAAATGGGTGGGACTGCATCAAGACCAAGGATCCTAAAACTCTCTGGCCAGCAGACTGTCTCAACAGTTGTGCCTTTAGCTGGTTGCCTGCCAGGCAGCTCGCATCAAACGATGGTGGCACCACCGCAGGCGGGGGGCGCTCCATCAGGCGTTCGCCAACCTCGGCTCGATGAGATCTTCGAGCGCTAGCTGGCGTGGAATTTCTGAGAGGGGTTCCTTCCTGAATTCCGGCACTTTTTGCCCTGGTGAACTCCATACTAGCCGCGTTGCCGCGCGCCGCGCGCTGCGGCCAGCGTGGGCCTGTGGACGACCACGGCGGGCACCGGCGAATCGATGGCCGCCTTCGTTAGTTGTAAAGCTACAACGTACGTGCCCTACGTTCCCTGGAAGACGTTGCTCAGGTACGAGGTGCTGCAAGTTGCAGGGAAGCGCTTTCCAGAGAGAAACAATGCCTACACTCAGCCTACTCTGAACAGCTCACGCGTGGCCTACACAGCGGGCCGCTCGCGGAGTTGCCCTTGGGATGCAACTTGAATTCAGCGACACCTGCCCGTGAATGCGTCTGGGTCTGTGGTTCAACACGCTGGTGGAATTCGTGGAGCTTTACAATTCCCTGAAAGCCCAAGCCCGCATGCCAACAAACGTGAGGATGATCGGTTGTGAGTGTGTTGGGCTTACTCTCTCACATTGCTGTTTGCCACTAAGTGATATGAGCGCGAGCCTCCGGTCGCTGAGCGCATTCTGATCCAGATTCCACCGCTGGACTCTGGCTCAGATCAATCAGGTCCGTGACCATGGTGATCTCCTGCAACACGCTTGATGATGCGCCGCGGCTCAACTAGGGTTCAGGGCTTATGCTACCAGTGATGCACTGCACCAGCAAGTCAAGCTTGTTCACTGTGCGCTTCGTCCACTGCATGGAGAAATTGGCCTGAAATTCGCAGACTTTTTCCCGAACTGCCTCTTGAATTGCATGCTGCCTTTCTGAAGAACTGTAAGGCCCGTGAAGCTATGCCAATGCCGTGCAGGTCCTCGTGCGCAGCCACATTTTGCACCATCCGGGGTGGTTCGAAGATTGTTGAAGAGCGACAGCATGCCAGCTCCACAACGTGAGTCTCCAGGGGCGTACAAGTAACATTCAATTTATAGCCATGTTCAGCAGCAGCGCTGGCTAGTATGGGCATGACTGAGAAGCTGTGGCAGAATTCCGTTCCCACCTTCGCTGCCCGCCGCTTGGGGCGCAGGCCAAAGGCTGCCAGACCGAGAAGAGCAAGCGAGGCGCCAGCCTTCCAAAGGAAAACTTGGAGTGACAGGACTCAGCGTGGATACACATGGCTTGACTTCTGACTTATCCTTGATGCATCTTTGGAGGACTCCCTTTCTCCTCAATCCACATCCTTTCGAGAAGCAGCAACCAACTGCCGCGGCCTTCAATAGGGGCGCCGACTCCGGTGCTCTCGAGCACGCAGCAACTGGGGCCTATCAGGCAGGACCGCAACCTTCCTTGTCATTCCTTGTACAGGAACTGCCAGCAGCTTGACAGAAACCTGAGCACCTGGATGCTCAGGGCGCCAGGGCTGCGAAGAGTACTGGAGGTCACTGGACCAGATGTGACGAAAGCCTCACCTGCTTTGCTGCAGAGGCCAGGAAAGGCTGCTTCCAGCGTCAACGGTCTCTTCCAACCAGGCCTACGGCAGCAGCGAAGGAGACAGCAGCCTCTGTTGGAGGATCTTCAGGCAACACTCCAGACGCCATATGCAATTATAACGAACAGTGTTTGGCTTGCTTAAGCTGCTGCAAACTTTCCCGGATGCAACTTACATTTGGCTGTGGATCAAAACGCTTTTGTCGCGGCCCCTCACCCCTTGGGTCATATCCCATTGTCGCGGCCTGTTGTTACATTGCCTTTGTCGCAAGTTCTTGGCACGAAAAGCTTGTCGCAAAGCCTCTTCCTTTCTAAGGGCGAGTCTGCATTCTGAAGAGTTCGCAGGCTCGCTGATGGCATGTCACTGTGGACATTCTGTCCAACCCAACAAACCCAGTGTTTTTGATTCACAGCCAAATGGCGGTTGTTCACAATTCCCTTTCTGGGATTTGGCCAACTTTAGCGAAAAAGTGTAATCCTTT